AGCACTACAGTTACCCAGTGGAGTGGCAGCTGAGACTCCAAGGGTCCCATAGTTGGCTTTTACCCCACATAAGTATGCCGTCGCCGTGCCGGCACTATCTGGCATCTGCTGGTCTACGTTATAGGTCTGCAGGAATCAAATATTGGAGAAAAACACTGTGGAATTAATATATTTTATAAGTATAATGAAATGTACAAAGAATCAGATTCAAATAATTCTGGATTATCTAAAGTGCTTTCAAATGTGAAGACATTCAATAGAAAAACAATCAAAAATAGAAATTGTCTATCAAAGGCTTGAGAGGGCCCATGACAAGCTCAAAGTATATATGTTTTCCAACTGTTAGTTACGTAGTTTGACACACAAAATATTTGGAAGGGGGGACTGCAATCACCATCACCAGATCAGACTCTTATGTGATAATATGCTGTGTTTGTTTGGCAATATTTTTTATTTATTTGTTTTACAAGTTGTCTACTATGCACTTGATTAAGACTACAGAAGGTCAATGAATTCTCTTCAGATCATAATGTCAAATTTGGAGTGTGTAGTATACAGAACACACCAAGTAAAACCATAAAAGATGGGATGTATAGTAACACTGTCCCCAGCAAAATACCATCAAAATATCAACATAGTAACTTTATGAATTTCTGACAGTGTAAAAAGCTAGATTTCCTTCGTTCATGGAAAAATATTATTTTCACATTTTAAAAGACATTAAGATAATTTTGCTTCACCATTAAATAATGTGTTTCTTTTCATTTTAGATACATGTCCTGAGCAGTCAAAATGTGCTGTCAGAGAGTGCTGACCTTAGACAGTGCCAGGTGGGGGAATGTATCCATAACCAAACTTCCCTCCTCTCCTGAATTTCCTTCCAGCTGGCCTTTGAGGATCCGGGCAGCTGTCACTGTTGTTATTCCCATTCCTGAAAGCAGAATCAAATGCCGCCAGGTTAACATTGTACTTTGTGAACCTCATAAGACTTGGCTGATGTGGGAATTTAAATGACAGTGAACACAATCACACACAATCACAGACAGTGGGACGTGTGTGAAGTATGAAATCCACCATTATTAATTATTCTTTCAGAACTGAAAACTTTATTATATCAACATAAACTAATGACTTGTTGTCCAACAGTTGAACTCCAGAAATTGATTGACAATGGGCTAAATATTCACAATTCTTTTTCTCTGCATTGTAAACGTACAATAAAATACTGGAACCTTCTTCTGATTCCTCTTTATACAGAGTTATCATCTAGTAATTTACAAGAGCTTATTTACAACATGATTTGTTGTCATAAACATACCAGATTGCAGAGTAATAAAGCATTATGATCAATCGCATGCCCTGATAAAGCCCTGAACATGCCACAATCAGCATGTTTTCCAGGAAGGAGTGGCTTATGTTGTGATCAGAACTCTATAATGCCACTGCAAATTTGCAATTTGTGCACAATCAGAATTATGACCATGATATGATGATATGATATGATGTTGGCTGAAATCCAATTATATATAACCAGTAAGTGCAGTCTGTTTCTTTATAGCATTCTTTAGTAATATTTAACAGCAAATTGTTACATATTAGAGAAACCTGACTGTCACGTCATCTGAGCATGGTGGACTTCTCACCATGCTCAGAACACCATCCAGCATTTTATGGTATCACTTTAATTGCATTGCCTTTAGTTAAAGGCTCATGAAAAAGTGGTTTCCAAGTCATGCTCCCTCAGAACGCAATATATTTTTTTTATTGGACTGACAAAATACACTGAGGTAAAAGGAACAAAACCAGATGATCCAGGAAAGGCTCCTTAATGGTAGAAAAGACTCACCGTCCCCCAGGAACAGGATGAGGTTTTTGGCTTTGTGCACATTAGGCTGAACATTCAGTGCAGTGCGAAGGGCTTGTTTCGCTTTGTTGTTCCAGTATTCAGCATGAAGTTCTTCCTCTGCCATTAGGATAAACACATCAGGATATGATACAAGTATTTATTTATAGAATAACAAATGGATAAGGATGAATGTTTGATCAAACTGATATTTTATGGGAAGAAATATTAAAAAAAAGCAACAAAGCTAGAAGTCAAATATGACCTTGCAGAGTTATTACATGTAAATATGTCACATTATTTTGTTTACAATTTTTTATTTTATTTTTTTCACCTGAAAATCACTGTCATTGTATTAAGCCATAAAACAGTTTGGTTTATCGATATGTAATGTCCTATATTTGTTTTCCTTTGTATTTCTTTGTACAAGCGTCCTATTATATTTCAGCATGGTTTCCGCAATTTTTAAGAACTGTTCTTAGTTCAAAATTTAATAGATATTCTTACCGTTAACGCACAAAGTCCTCTGAGTTGATACGAATATTAATAATCCAGCAAAAATGAGGTTCTGTGTCTTTGCCATTGTGCAGGCTGTAGGTAAATTAACAAACCTTTGCTTGTGAGTTACCTCAACTCCCTTTATACCTGCAGAAGGAGCAAAGGGCACATGGGCATGCCGTGCAATGTAGGAACAAGATTATGGTTAATAAACAAGAACACGCAGGTGGGGAACTGTCCATGACTCACCCAAAACATTCTAATAGTCAGACTCTTAATTTTATATTATAGTTTGTCGATGAAATCAAATGTAATTAATAAAGTTGTATGTTGTTTTATTTTAGTTTTTATGGCAATAAGGCAGCCAAAATGGCATGCAACAGTTTTTTCGACAATAAAAGTGTAAGCATCTTCTTTTTAACTCATCAAGATTTTTATTATTTATGGCTTGTTACTTTTCTGAATCTTTACAGAGTTGTAGTTTTCAATTTAGATATTGTGCTTAGTACTCAGTATCAGATATCAGTAAAGTATTAATCAGTTTAGTACTAATTGATGGCACAAAATATGGGGTTCTTATTAATTCTTAATTGGTTCCAATAAATGCATTACCAGTTTTTGAGCTCTGTAATGATATTTATTCCTGTAAAAACTCACTGCAAATGATATGTGTTCCTGGTTATCTCAAGTGCATACAACAGAAAACTCTGGTAAACTTCAACATACTATTAGTTTCTTAGAATTTTATCCTTATGATAAAACGTGCTATTTTTTATGTCTGATGCCTTTACTAACCCCTTCTTTTTGCCCCCTGGCAACAACAACTAAGAACACACTAACTCCTCCCAATGAACTCGATTCTGAAAAAAAAAAAACCTTTTTATCAAACTCATCAAAAAGGTTTTGAGTTTTAAAAGTGTTGGTGTGATATTGAAATACCTGCTATTGCAAAGTAACATAGTCAGTGCTTAGTGAGTCTGTGCAGAAAGAACATTTTATTTTATTTTATTTTATTTTATTTTATTTTAACAGTTCATTACTGGGTAGTTTTATCAATCCATTTAGCCAAAATCATTTTAGGGCATTGTTGATCTATGTGGCCCGAAATAAAAAAAAAGTGTTTAGAATAGGGTTCTATTCTAGAATATATGCATCATGTAAAGGTCTGTGTTTTGTTACGTTTACTTCATTGGCACTATGTATATTATACCTGTCCTATCTCTCACTCAGTGAGGGAGCTAGGCAACAGAAACCCTGCAAGGGAACAAAGTAGGTTGTAGTTCATTCAGTTTTCTTCATTCTGGTACAATATTCTGCAAACAATTTTATGTTACAAAATAAATGTATGTGTATGCACACACACAGGGCTGCTTAGATGGGTGATTACAATACAGACTAAAGATTTTAGTACCTAAATTCTCTTCTATCTAGTTCAATGGGATACATTTTTGTTTTGTTTTTTCTGTCTATCCATTAAAAATAGCTTAGATTTAGATTCTTTATTATTATTGTTGAGCAAAGGACACCCAGTTGTCCTCTAGTACAATGTTTTTTAAAAGTGGGGGCCACCAGGGGGCGTTATGGGAGTTTCAAAGATTTAGATAAAAGAGGGACAAATATATATATATATAAAATTTCAGATTTAAACATTCTTTTTTATATAAGTTAAAATAAATTATTCAAGATGGAGACAGAAGATAGAAATAGCCTTTATTGTCCCACAAAGTAGAAATTCGGGGAGTTTTTTTGTTGCCATTTTCATTTTTCTGATTGGCTTCCAGTGACATTCATCAAGTTGCTTTGCTCCTCAGGCTAGAAATGGAAAAGTTTCTGACAGAAGAAAAAGACAGAAGGAACCTTCTACCAGCCTTGCTGTGGTCACTGCTGCAAAAAAACTAAACTGTCGAGATAAAATAAATATTGATGAGATTAATATTAAAATATTACATATTTCCTAATCAAAAGAGGGGATTATGGTGGAATTTTTTTTCTCAGATAATATATTCAGCATCAGATTAATGAAGTCATAGTACCTGACAAAAACAAATTCCACAACAGAACTCCTGAGGCAGCATTTATGATAAATGAATGTAGTAATTATTGAATAGTAAATACAAGTGAGAAAAAAAAATGTTTCAATGTTTCTTTACATATATTGTTGCATTACTGCATTGTATTGCACACATACACACTCGTGCGCACGCACTCACACACACTCATATATATATTTATTTATTGACCATAGGAGACCAAGTAAGATACGTTTTAAATTGGCTCATTGAAGGTCATTTAATATTGTCACAATGCCAAAACAGCTCACAGTTCAGGTTTAATTTACTTGATCAAAAGTAAATTAAACCTGAAGGAAAAAAAGTCACTTTTTTCAGGAAAAAGGTGACTTTTTTCAAGGAAAACATATGTATGTTTTCCTTCAGTAAATGTACATATGTCAACAGATGTACCACAAAGGGCCCCCAGCTTGGTTGTTGGCTTCAAGTTATTTAGAGAAAAACTTATGCACACAGTAAATTTTTATTTCATGTAAGTCCATGGCATAAAATAAAGAACTCTGAAAACATCTCACTAAATCATGAACTTACAAGTCAGTGCAAGTTTATAGTCTGTTTGAACTTGTACATTGATCAATTGGAATGTTGGATGAGTTATTGAGTCTTTAATCGTCTCTTGAAAAACTGTTTCAGTTTACAAAAGAATAACAGTTCATCTTTGCATATTTTCATGTGAACAAGCTGTCAGTGCTCTATTTTTTATTGCTAGGCAGCTTAGATTAGTTAACACTTGCGTGCTCAAACTTGCATTGTAAATCTATGGCAAAAACACTAGTGTGTGTGGATCATTACCACATGATCCAGGGAGTTTTTGGTAATAAATACAGTACTGTCAGTGTTTATCCATGCACTCTGATTTTCCAGCCCATGCACAAAATGGGCTTGTTGGCATATTTACCTGAAAGCACTTAATCCATAATCTTTGTTTTACTGCATGCAAATAATCGTAACAGTTCAAATGTATGTGTGTGGATGAAGGTCATCTTAAAAACCAAAGAAGGACAAGCATGTTGACCAAAAGGCCTAAATGTCTGTTCACACACCCAGCTGAGGAATGGCTGTGATGGTGAGGAGGGCAGTTTCTGTATGGCTCCAAACAGGCTGCATAGGCCATAACATGTGCTATGTAGTTCTGCTCCTTTACTCCATGAAACAGGTGAGCCATGGGACCTTTGGCGTAGATGGCTACGTCTTCTCCACCGTGTGTCTCAGCATCCAGTGGTACAGCGGCCTGCTGCATGTACTCCTCATCCACTGCAAGGAGACAAGTGCAAAATGCAAAAATATTTAATACGTTAAAATGAATGTAATTTAATACTTCTATTAGTGTCCATTACATATAAACCAGCAAGCAGCATTTTGTAATATAAATATTGAACACATCCACTTTTTTTCCTCCCTAAATGTACTTCTAATTGCCACATTGGCATGAAATTCACACCGTATTCCCAACACCCATATCCAAGAAATCCACAAAAATTAGTCCATAAATTAGGTCATTAAAATAAGCTGAAGTGAAGAAATAAGAATTAAACAGAACAAAATATGTATAAAATGCATAGAATATCAGGACAATAGTTAGATTTTATCTGTATTCTGAAAGCAAAACTAACATTATCATTGCAAATTCATAACCTGTTATTTTAGTCCTAACTGATGACCAATGTTTGAGTGTTTCAGAGTCCTAATTAGCTTAAAACAATAACTAATGCACTCAACTGAAAGACATTCTATACAGACTCACTATGCAAAACTCCACCTCTGAAGAAAAAGTGTGTTTAAACTTGTGAAAAGTTTTCTATACAGCTTTCAAACAAGCCAATTAAATATTAAGAACATATAGTCTGGTCATATTAGATCCAAACCTGTACTCATTAAATATCACTGCTTCATGTAACAATAAGTTGTGCAGTGAACTTATTGTGCACTGCACAATAAGTCCACACTTTCAGATGTGAAGTGTGAAGGTGTGACCATCATGATGTGGGGCTACTTTTTTAGCCCATGGTACAGGCACACTTCATGTAACTAGCAGGAAGAAAGAAAGGGGAAACCTCCCAGAAAATTACTAATAAGAATCTGAATGAAGTATATTTCAACTACCCAATGATACCACAGTAAAGAAACTCAAGTGGTCTCAGGATAAAAAAAAAAAAACACAGCTGCCTAGTCAATCAATTTAGTCAAATCCAACTTAAAAAAATCTATGAGAAGACCTAAGCAGAGTGTATATAAGAGCTCACCAGAACTACAAGATTACATAACATACCTGAACAACCTGAACAACAAATACAGTAGTTTCTCTATACAAGACATTTTGACATTGAGATTGTGTGAAAAAGTTTGTGTAACCCTCTTGGGTTGTGACTGACTCCTGCTGTGAATTTCATGTCAATAACATAATTAGAAATACATTATTAAAAGTAGAATGTTTATGTGTTTAATATATATATATATATATATATATATATATATTATTTTACCCAATGTTCCTTACAATATGAAATAAAATATAACTGAAAACTGAGTATCCTAGATTTACTGCCCTTGTCGTTAAGACTTTTTTTATTTATTTTTCCTGCTTTTGCACTAATACTGTAATTACCTTTGCCTCATACATTTTTTTTTGTAGTTTGGCCCATAAGATAGGGTTTTCCAAAGCTTCCATAATTTACTCAAACAAAACTAATTACAGCTTTCCAAAGCCCCAGAAGATAATTGAAGTTCCTTTGATGGAAAATGCAGAAATAGTGCCTGACTTTTAAAATACAAGAAGCACATGTTGGACAGGAAGTGAGATAAAGTATTTTGAAATTATTATGATTAAAAATACTACAATCTTTTCTACACTTCAGATAAAGTAATTTTTTTCTGTAGAGCGGCACAGATGGTTGGAAAAGCATGCTGGTGCCCTTTTCTTTCTTGTTGCTTTGTAATTTCACTGCGTTGCTGCGGATAAAAGCATCAAAGTGCACATGTATTTCTTTTGCAATGCTTCCTGCCTCTCCAGATGGATACATTTTAAAATCAAATTCCATATGGAGTTGGGTTCAGTGTATAGCTATTAGACATGAAAACTTGTTCCAAAAAGTAATACTGGTCCATTTAGAAATGGTGAGCAAAACTTAGGGCTATAAAAGGTATTCCGTGCAATAACTTAAAATGCATGTGTATTTCCATCCTTCTCAATGTGTCACAAAGACATGCAAATGTAGTTTAAAAGTTCAGTTACATAAATGCAAAGGGTTATGCGGGGAAAAAGTAAACAGATCACAATGAAATGAATGCATTATATTTCATCTTTGTTTTCCAGACAAACTCAGGCATGAGTCAGCCATAACCACATCAGTTAAAACTGTCTGTACACAGATCAGTAGAGACAAGCAGCTGCATCTGAAAACCATTAGCCTGGACTCACAGTAATCCACCGTTGTGATGTTCCCTCTGGTTCCATTTACATGCACATAACCAGGGCCATTGGCATAAAGGATGCTGGTAAAAGGCATTTCGTCATCTGCTTTCTTTGGCGCCAGACCTGAATCATTGTGTGGGAAAGTGAATAATGTTTGTCATGCAAGGTATTCCTCGATACTTACATATGCTTTGACGTCATATTGAAAGCAGATTACAATGAACTTGAATAACCTTTACCCAGGACTTTGTAGAGCTAAGAAACCCAAGAGTAGGTAAACATTTTATAGTCTTCAGCAAACAACTGTGTTGGTCTTACATGTTTGTTTTTTTTTGTATACTTTCACACAACTTTTAATATGAACAGCATTAAAGTAGCTATTCTTAGAATCATACCAAAAATGGGGTTCCCTCGAGGTGTGTTACCACCAAAGGTAAAGACATGAGAGTGGTCCGCAGTTACCACTGTCAGTGTGTCAGACTCATCGGTGATTTGTGCTGCCCGTTCAATTGCACGATCAAACATATCAGCTTCAGTTAGCGCCAGTTTTGCAATGCCATCGTGGTGTCCATGGTCAATTCTCCCTCGTAATACAACACAGAAAAAACAAATTTCAACAATTGCACATGATCATGCACAATCAGGATTCTGTGTTATTTCAGGTACAACATTGCAAATAAGTGCTTTCTTGAGCTCTTGTTTTGATTTTACATTCAACAACAATCCCATGATACTCATCTTCCACAAACAAGAAGTATCCTTTTGGATTCTTCTTGAGGATTTGAATTGCTTTTTCGGTCATCTCCACAATAGATGGGTCTCGTGTGGTATTCCGGAAAACATCAAATCTCATGTCCTTTGCTTCAAAAAGACCTAGACCCAAATAAAAGGGTGTGAAATCTCAGCATTATGAGATTTACAGTTGGAGACAGTAAAGACTCAGCTCTGTTTAGAAGCAATAAAGCTGTGAAAAGAAAGGCCACAGGGGAAAAAAAACAAAACATTTAAAATAGGATCAGTGAGAAAGTTCAAGAGTCTGAACTCCTCACATATCAGAGGACAACATGATAATAAGATAATAAAGATTGTGTACTCTTGGTAGCTGCACCTGGATTACTGTTAAATGCACCATCACGGCAAGAAATGCACCCTTGAGTCTTTATCTCTATAGTTGGACCTGATAATGCTTGTTAAAAGCAAATTTACTGTTTTAAATAGCTGTAAAGATGAAAGGTGATACTTAGAGATAAAGATGTTATATACTACTTGCACACCCACCCATCAGACGATCTGTAGTTCTCACATTTATCTCATCAAACTCCTTCTTATGCCAGACATACAGTGATTTCTTGTTCTGAAAAACAAATCCATGGTCACACATATATGTTAGTAGCAGAAGTCCATAAAATGGAAGGTAATATATCAAGCTAATGCTCATTAACCCTACCGGTTTAGCATTCAACCACACGTCAATAAGGTTTTTCTTGTCTTTGCGGTTTCCCTTACGAGAAGAGGAGGTAGGATACTCAGGATCCGGAGTGCCTTTTGGTGTCATGTACATCCTTCCTCCCCCAAGAATCACCTTTAAGAAAATCACATGGCAAAATGTTGATGGAGGCACTTTTTAAAGAATTTATCCGTACAGCTTCAAAAAACACGTGGTGTACAACATGCAACATGTACAAGTTCTAAGTTAGAATCTTTTTAGTCTAAACATCTACAGGAGGAAGTAGAAATTATTTGGCAAGCTACGTCAAGCAAAGGAGTAGCTTCAGGAAATAAAAAAATATAATTCATTTTTAAAATATATATGGGAGGTAGTTATAGCCATCCATATGTGTGTGACTCCAAATATTGACGCAGGGTTTTGCTTACGGTGTTTCTTAAAGGATCCGCATTGAAGTAACTGACTGCTCTCAACTTTTAGTAATCTTACAGCAACATTTGCTGTATAATGTTGCTATTGAATAAGCCAATTTGTTAGCATGCCTGTTGTTTCAAGTATTTTAAAGATGAAAATGAAATCTAAATATTCAGTGAAAGCAATTCAGTCACAACTTGCGAGCATAGATGTTTTCTCAAGATGACAATAAAAGAGTAACATGGCTGACTGCATTAAGGGTACGCAATTTCAGCCACCATAAATCCTTCCATTTAAAAATAATATTGCAGAGACCGTGCTACCTGAACTGGAGGAAAAATTAACAGTTACCTGCTGTTAATTTTATTTAATGTGACTGCTATTGACTTTAACACAGGGTTTTGGAGATCAGAGGTTTGCTTGATGTCTCTACATAGCCTTATGGTACACTCTATAGATTTCACATTGTCTAAAAATTAACTCTGCCATATGCTCAGCAGTTCCTACATGTAACCAATGTCACCATAATTAATCAGTCTCAGAATATGTTGGAAGATAATAAGCTGTTCTTTCATACATCAATGTCAAAGTTGGTGACCAGCTGGGTAGCGATATCCACACATCCATGTTTTTGAGCACTGGAAGGAAGGTCTGCGTCGCTGTACCAGCTGCGGCTGACAGAGTGGGCATAGGCTGCAGCTGGTGAGGCATGCTGAACACGTGTGGTGGTCACAATACCCACTGATTTACCTGTACAACCCAGAGAGACATACTCAAATCAGAAATATATCTGTTTTTTGTTTTATTTTCATAAATGAACAAAATGACCACTACAGAAGTGGACCACTGCAGCTATTCCTGTCCACTGCATAGAACCAGAATAAGTGACACCACATGCTTATCGGATGATTGTTTAACCCCACATATTTTTCATCTTAGGTAAGTATGGTTAATTTGTATCTTGAGATAAGAGTGCAGTTTCAACTGGTTGACCTTTCCAAGATGAAGCACACCCACTGTTAGTGATCTACTGCGTGTACCTTGGGCTTTCGCACGTCGTAGTACTGAGTAGACCTCATTTCCAAAAGTAGTGTTGCACTCATAGGCCACTGCTTTAGCGCTGAGTCCAACTGTCTTGGCGTTGGCCTTCACCCCACAGTGATAGGCCGTGGCCGTGCTGGCACTGTCCGCAACTTGCTTATCCACACTGTAGGTCTTCAGAAACAGAACACAATTGAACAAATAAATGTAAAGTGGACACGGTCTAAAAATACACCCTTGTATGATTTATCAACATTTTTTAACACGCATTCATTGTTTTCCAGTGTCCTTTTTTATTATTTCATATTAACCTTCATGTCACCAGGAAAATCCATTGAGATTTTAATTTCGAGTTAGCTCCTCCTAGTGGCATTAGCTCTAGCTATTATAGTAAACACAGTCGATTACAAGCCGGTCACTTTTGTTTCAGCAGATATCTCATATCAAACGGCTTATGAAACCTTTGAGGCCGGTTTATGATTGTGGGTTGCCCTCGTTGACCTCCTCCTCCTTGAATTCTTGTTTTTTGTTTGTAGACTTGAACCACACTTTAACATAACCGCGTCTTCTGCCGCCTGGCATGCATTGTGCAGGTAAAAAAAAAAAAAGGCAACCTGCTTATTTGAAAAATATAATGAAGATATGCAATCTTTGAAGTAATTGTGAGTTCTTATGCAGAAAACACCACCACTTTTAGGTCAATAAGTAAATTCTAACATTTTAAGGCCAACATGCTTAAATAGTCGTGGATCCCTTTAAATAGATCAAATTCATTTTAAAGTACTTTACAATTAAGGCGCTGTAAAACAGCAACACATAGCGTGAATATGCACTAAATATTTTGAAATGTTCAGGATATGTTTTTGGAAATACAGATCTTTTTGCTTTACTTTTAAGACGATTCAGAACAAATATGCAACTAATACAATGCAACATAAGCAATAACAGCACCTTGTGTTGACACCAGAGTCTCACAATAATCAAATGTTACTTCTCCTTGGTAAAGATCTCCAAGGTCGAGTAAATAAAAAATATATATGTATACTTATCACAAAGATTTAATCTGTCTTGATTGTGGGTTGAGACAGCAAACTACAATTAATAAATACTCAACCTCTCCACAATGCTCAAGTTACAATAATTTAGGGATTAAACTTGCCTAGAAAGCGATGCGAGACCCAGAATTTGTGATCACTACTTACAGCCTATTGTCAGCATTTTAATTAAAGGGTGAATTAACAAAATCCTTTAAATCTCTTTCAGTTTTGTGGTTTAAGAACTTACGTAGCAGTGCATGCTCATTAAAAGACAAGATGCAACATGCTGTTGGAAAGCCAAGTGCCACTTCTGTTTTTCATCTTCTCTCTCTTTATTCATAATGAACAGTGCAATTTTACTAAGCAGCCAAAACTAAGTTGGAAGATTTAAATGCATGCATGTGTGCGCTTAAAATTTAGCACAGCTCTCTCTTCACAGTCTCATACTCAAAGTGTGTCTGTGGTGGTAAATAAGGTAAATTACTTCAGATTTTCCATTTGCAAAGCTAAAGTTTTACCATTTCTCTTCTGTGAAAGTGATTAGTATTCTATTATGGAGTTTGCTGGCTAAAGCAAGTCTGAATAGTAAAATTGCATTTATGCTTTTGCATGCTCACCTTTAGTTTGTCATTTTAAACTTAGCAACCTTGCAGTTTTCCTGAGCTGTTTCAGAGGAGAGGGAAATGAGAACACTAATGAAGCAGTAACTCTGGAAATGTGAGATTTTCCAGCCACCTCACAAGTAATACCCCTGGACAATCAGGGGATGTGAAGAACAACGTTGCCAATGTTCCACTGTGTAGTTAAATGTGTGTTGGTAGGAATCATGACTTTACTTATATTTATGCTGCTCTTTTCCACTTGGTATAGCAATGGTCAAAGAGCTTAATGCACAATTCCTGGAAAACTGTTAAGCACCTTAAAGAAACATACTTTTAACTAACTTTTTTGCCTGATAAATGTGAATAAGTGAAAAATGGTTATACAGCAGCAAGAATAAAAGATGACTGAGCTTTAATGGCTTCCTTGGGAGCTAATGGACAATGTGTTTTGAAAGGAAAGACTAGAGTTCTTTGCTATTGGAAATGTCAAGGAAACTCCTGGTTATTTTAAACCACTGGCATTTAATAAAAAAATATGGACTAAGTGAGTGTGGATAACCAACTCAGACAATTTTTTTCCTTCCCTTGACTGAACTACCAAAGCGTCTAAAAATAGTTAGAAAAAAAAAATACTTGGGACGTTATTTTTGGAGGAGCTGTAGTTTCAGTAAACGTCTCACAGAATACTATAATTGTTAGAAGGTTCCGCTGGGAGTCTGGCAGACTTAACCCAAATCCTTCATAATTACTCATTCCACCTTTCTGTCCCAACTCCTCAAAGAGTTCAATGTGCTCCAAAAGGTCAAATCAGATTCAGTAGACTGAGATGAACTACACTGTGAGATGCAAAACAAACCGTTTCAAGATTATGTCAGGGCTCAAGTCAAGGTGTGCCTGAAATTTGAAAACCATACAAAAAAACAAACAAAGAAACTGAAACCAAAATTTCAGCCAGCAAAAAGCAGATTAACAAAAGTTAACCGAATCATGCCAAAAACTAGTTGGTTTCTTTTACAAACGGGTGTGCCGACTTACTTACAAATATTAAAGCTTGGTGATAACACCTCCTAAGGATATTTTAAACTGAAAATTTTAAGATTTTTTTAAAACTTTTTTATCATTTCTATGTCAGCAGTTCTACTTTGTGTCACTACCTTAGAGAGGGCGACATATGGGAAGGTGTCCATGGCCAGCTCCGTTTCTTCCCCAGACCCGCCCTCATTCTGACCTCGCAGGATACGTGCTGCTGAAACTGTAGACACACCCATCCCTGCCGAAGGATGACAGACAAATAAAGTTAATTTTTATGTCCCATCTGCTTTTCTCATCTTTGTTATCTCAAAGCAATTACATAATTAATCACATATTTTGCCAGCAATGCTTCTGCATTCATCGCCCTTTTGACATTACATAAACTCACAGCACATACTGTGCAGATTATCTGCCACTAGTTTGATAATATGAAACATAACCACAAATTTATGCCGCTACCTTTGTAACTGCTTCGCTAGTTTGTGTGAATACTAAAAATATTATAAAAATGCAGATCTCTAAAGAAAACATGCAACTAGCAAAATCAAAATTTAGATAAAACAATATATATATATTTCCAGGTCAAAATAGCACTCTGTTGTGATGGAACTAATTTTACCTTAGTGAATTATGTGAAACAGTTAAGGGATTTGCTCTATCTTTGCCCGTTTAAAAGAAACAAATCCTAGCTGAGTTAAGGCAGCTGCAGGAAATTTAACTCAAAAATCACAGTCGTAAAACTTAGAACAGGCTCTGGGCACAGCAGACAGGGGAGATGCACAAAGAAAACTGAACCCGACCACCCAGAAATGTGACTGAGTTTGATTTAAAACAGATACTGCAATAGTTAACTGGAAAACTGTTCTTTAATCCATGTGCATTTAAACAGCTTCTCCTGCAAAGATGGATTTAATGCCTTGTCGACTGTAAATATAAACACATAATAAGAATTTCTATCCAATCCAGATGTAAATGGTCTCCTTTTCACTGTAGCTGTCTCTACTTGGGAGTGCCAGAAGACAAGGCTCACATTTCAGCACTGACTATAGAAGTCAGCAAACACAACACAAAGGTGCCCTTTCAAGTTGGAAAATATAAAACATTACAATGCAATTTCATTTTGAACTCACTTATGTTATGTTCTTATGTTAATGGATCATTCATGCACAGGCAAAAGCAGTTGTGGCCATTGCCATTATACTCTTTACTCTTTCACCAGTAAACGGTGCCAATAAATGTAGCAATGGACCCAAAAAGAAATCAAAATGATCTACAAGGAACATCAAAATACTTTATAAATGTGTTTTAAGAAAGAAAATCTAAAAGGCATACAATAGACATCTGCTAATTTATTTTCATGAGACCAAAGCTGTTTCCAAGGGAAATCTACTCTTTAACCAATAGTCAGTAAATGCATATGTGGTATTTTGAACCTTTTCTCCAACTTCAGTCAACCAAACTGTCACGCTTTATTACTTGTAATCTTTGAAGACTATAATGTATTTCGAGCACAATATGTGTTTTCTTTTTCATTTTAGCACATTTTTTGGATGGATGGATGGATGGATGGATGGATGGATGGATGGATGGATGGATGGATGGATGGATGGATGGATGGATGGATGGATGGATGGATCTTATCACATCTTTTCTTGGAAAATATGTCTACAAAGCTATAATTTTCCTCACATGAGGTTTGTTGAATGGTGGCGTGACTCACAAAACAGCTAAAAGCAAAATCCTTCATTATCTTGAGCTGTCTGACAGACACCTGACAGCCATTTGGGCTCATTTACAACTTTATCCACCTTCATATATATA